TATTGACAAACGTGCATACTTGCATGAAGCAAGGCAATCAAGTGTCCCACTACTTTGGGCTCAAACCACCTTCTGCCGCACAATACTTGCACTCGAAGCAACAATAACTTGAATTGAACTGTATTTCTAGAACACACTTTCCCAGTGGACTCGGCCAAAAATTCCACGGGGAAAGTTCACTGGAAAATTCCCCTGAGCAAAATCTGTCTAATACTTGAACAATGGTAGAACAAGCGAGCGACGGAAAAATGCCCCCAGTGGTTTTAGAGAAATATATTGAATTTTGTATCTCAATACAATAACCCACAACGAGAAAGGAGAGTATTTTATATATTCAAGCTGTTTTTAATTTGAAGAGCCAAAAACACATACATGTATACCACGATGATTGGTAGAATATAGATCATTTCTCAGTCAATCTAGGCTAGCCACGACGACCAGCAATAAATACTACAATACTCTTGAAAACTACAAATATTCCGAAATTGAAATATTTGTTCAAGTGACAAAACGTGCAATACAGGAGCCAGTGGCAGCGCATTTTCAAATGAGCAAGTGAAAATTTCACATGGCATGCCTCCCAGGCTTCAATAGTGATTTTAGCCATAGCCATGCGTTTTCGGCTGCAGACACAACCGGATTTTTTGTGACCCTGGTGTAGGTTTGTTTTGACGTTGATTTCAACGACACGGTTTTGCGGGACTTTCGACCCAGTCAATGATAGTAGAGGAAAAAAATTAGTCAAAATAGATCATATTGCCCGGAATGTCAATATTTAATCGTCATTAGTTCCTCGTATAAGCATTTAACAAAAATGAGTACTTAGGGAAGACAAAATATGTTGAGCGCAGTTGAACAAGTGTTTTTTTGTGACCTCTCTTCAGTCAAGCCCATTAGGATGCCAAAACGAACGTAAAGAGATTCTAGCGCACACTGACTATATGGCATATAGTGCATCGACGTCATGGATTGAACCCTGTACCTACCACTCGGGCTTCGTACAGGAGCTCTACCGCGTGAGGCATAGTTCTTATTGTTTGTGAAGTTGTTGATGTATTCCACCAACGTAGTCACTCCTACCCGAACAAATTCTCTTTAGAAATTGTTATCCTAGAATACACAATGCTCAACGTACACGCTCGAAAGCTGACGTTCACAATTTCTTCGTGCAGATTGAATTCTGCGACAATATTAATACGACGAATTTTAGGTAAAGTATCACTGGGGACACGGTCACTGTTAGGATGATAGTCATTTTCAACTGTGGAACTTAAAGTCCTTCCATAAAAGGTTTTTTTTCGTAACCGAACTATATAAGTTGTCGAAGGTTTCCGTACGACAACCGATTGAAATGTTCATTAGAGCTTGGGAGCAGTAGAAAACTACATGAGCAGCAACACAAGTATATTGGAAATAACCCTTTGTACTTACAATACAACTGATCACTTGGTACCAGATCGAGGTACTGATCAATGACAGCATCTCTGACTTGATGTAATGTCACAATTTCTATGACCA